CTCACAACACATGGACAGACTTAATCATAGTTTTAACTGGGAAACTCTCAGCATTTTAGATCAAACTAAATCCAAAAATGCAAGGGAATTCTTGAAAGCTTGGTATTCAGACAAGGCAGCCATCAACAGACACATAGAGATAAACAGCAACTACACGCTATTCAAAAGAGACAATAGAAAAGAAAACAAAAGACCAGAACATCTCCTCACCAGCAATCATCACCCAGATAAGCAGAGATTACCACCAGACACACAATCAAGGAGTAAACAATACCCTAATCAAGGAACTACCAGAGGAACAAAACAAAACCCCCACCCCTACCAACACTGGCAGGGCATGCCACAGTATATAAACAGAGAGCAAACCCCATTCCATTCTAGCACTGAAGAAGTTACCTAGCCGGGTAATGAAACGTTTGCAAGAAAAGAACCAACTATTCAAAAGAGACAATAGAAAAGAAAACAAAAGACCAGAACATCTCCTCACCAGCAATCATCACCCAGATAAGCAGAGATTACCACCAGACACACAATCAAGGAGTAAACAATACCCTAATCAAGGAACTACCAGAGGAACAAAACAAAACCCCCACCCCTACCAACACTGGCAGGGCATGCCACAGTATATAAACAGAGAGCAAACCCCATTCCATTCTAGCACTGAAGATGTTACCTAGCCGGGTAATGAAGCGCTTGCCAGAAAAGAACCAAGCTCAGAGAACCCCAAGGAATCCACAGTTCAGCCCTGAGCTACACATATTTGCCTCTATTGGCATTTGCATTGCATCAGACGTCGTACATACGGGATACTTACATCCTGGTAAAAAGAAACTCTTTGTCTAAAGAGGAAGTTTCTTTGGCTTTATTTATTTATTTATTAAACCAATTTACACAGCCTCCCATCTCACCACAGGTGATTCTGGGCAGTGTACAACAAAGCTAAAACCAGTCAAAATATGCATTAAAAATATAAAAACAAAATAGAACAGAGAATAAAAGGATGTTAAAAATAAGGGAGGCACTTCACTGATTCTTTGGAGGAAGTTCTTTGACACTAGGAGGTTTTATTGGTTTGGAGGAAATCATTTGGGGGAAAATTCTTCAGAATGTTGTGGGAAAATCTTTTGAGGAAGTCAATGATGATTGGTGTTTCTGAGAAGCGTAAGCATTTTTCAAGTACAGTGGTACCTCGGGTTACAAACGCCTCTGTTAACGAACTTTTCAGGTTACGACCAGCTCTGGCTGCAAAAATTTACCTCGGTTTGCGAACTCCGCCTTGGGTTACTAACCGGATCCGCGGCCATTTTCCCTCCCGTGACACGGTCCGCGGCCATTTTCCCACCCGTGACACGTGGTCCGCGGCCATTTTCCGCCCCTGACACGTGGTCCGCGGCCATTTTTCGCCCCTGACACGTGGTCCGCAGCCATTTTTCCGCCCGACTCTCCCTCCAAGCAATAGCCACCTCCCTGTCCTCCACGCCAGAACGGATTAACGGGAATTACATTGAACCTTATGGGAAAATTTGCTTTGGGTTGCGACCAATTCAGGTTGCAACCAGAGTCGCGGAACGAATTAAGTTTGTAAACCGAGGTACCACTGTATATAGTAGCTTGTATCGTCTTGCTTCTTACACGTATTTTCCAGCCATAGATTTATTATGTTTTGGTTTAACTATGTTGTCTCTGTTTCTGATTAAAGCAATTTGGAAGGTCCCACGTCTTTACTTGCTGTTTTCATGTGTTTTATTTTTTATTAATACATTTCAGCAAATAGATAGTTAAGCAAATCCGTGATATATGTGGTATACAGAAATATTTTTTAAAAGAAATAGAAATCTCTTACAACAGAAATGAAGGAGATGTATGTAGGTGTATATTCACAGATTATCCCACTCTTGGTGCTCTTTTGTAGCAGCCTTGTTTTGGATTACATCCTTTTCCTTTGCTAGATGTTTTTTGTCTGTTATCATTGTCGGCTTAGATGACCAAAGTTACAATCCTAAGAACGCTTTCCAGTAATAAAATCCATGGGAACATTTTCAGCTGAAACAAATCTTTATGCAGAAATGGATGGGGCTGAATGTATTTAAGTTATTTTCTAGCAGCTGGTTGATTCAAGGTTGAAACGATTCGGTGTAAGGGCTGACAGAGAAAATAACTATTTTTTTTTTCAAATTAAAACAACAGGTCATTAGCTCCCTATACTGTTCTTAATCGCGTATTGGAAAACGTGCCTATGTATATGTGTGTCTATATGTGTTTGGGGTATTTTAGCTGCAAGTTATAAAATAGAGAACAAGTGAAAATCCCATGGATCTGAGAAAAGGCTGCATCTGTTACACCTCAAGCTGGACATCTGTTCTGGGTTGAAGGCAATTTATGAATTTAACCCAGAAACGTAAATGAACTTTACACAGATTTACATAACATCATAAAACCTTCCTGTTCATATTCAACATGGTCCGGGCCATTATTCTTTCTCATAGGAGAGTATTACCATTTATCCCAAGGATAGAACTTTGTTCATTGTTCTGACAACATGAAGTGTAATTTTGTTGGGAGCCTATTGTTTTATTCTAAGCTCAACTATGGAATTTAAACTTTAAGGAAAAAATAGGGTGAGACCATTCCTTGATGCTTGGAGGTATTATTTTCTTTGTAGGCCAATGTATATTATCATTATATCAGATATCAGATGCCAATATTTCCTTTATAAATTATGGAAGAACAGTGAAATACATGTACATTATAAAAGAGATCCAACATCACTTTCAGTGGAATGGAATGACGTCATCTTAAAACAGACTGCAGGCAATAGACAGCCAACAGGGAATGGAGACTCCTCAATTATTTATTTATTTATTTATTTATTAGACTTGTCCCCGCCCATCTCCCCACAATTTAGTCATCTGCTCAAATGTTTACACCAAAAAAGTATATCTTTTGGGAAAGCAGTGTACAAAAAGCATATATTTATGTTATTTAAGTGTATGTAATGGAAGGTTGAATGTAAGGTGACAGATGTGGATTTTCCAGCAGTTTTCTCAAAATGATGTGATATCAAAACAGTGTGATCTATGTAAGTCTGCCACACTCACGTAGACCAAATTAGGACTGAATCTCACATATCTAATATGATCTTTACATAATGTAGAAGATACATTTTCTACATTTTAGACATTTCTACATTTGTTGTTTCTATGGATAGCAATAGTAAAGCCCCCAAATCTTCCTTTGTGAGGTTGAGAAATTTATCTTCTAATATGGTTATTATTAGTAAATTTTCTGGCAAAGTCTATAATATGAACATTTGTGAATATGAAAGGGTATTTTAATTCTGCAAAAGAGGTTTTGAAGCTCTGCCCATTGAATGTGATGTTTGTTTTAAAACCATGAATACTTGTTCAACATTTCCATTGTCCTAATATTGCATCTGTAATAGAAGAATCTGAAGAATCCCTCACAGATCCACCCACATAGGCTCTTTTCTCTGCCTATGTGATCACATTAC